TTTTTATGGGATACAGTAAGGTTAGGAATGGAATTCCAAGTATGACTGCCTGACTTAAGTTTTTTACCATAATAAAAGGTGTTGGAAAACAGTGTCCATTATTACATACCATGGCATTTGATAATTTGTATTTAATAAATAATCTACTACCATCAGCAGTATTAAGTATTTGAGTAGTTTTATCAAAATATTTTGATGGCACTAAACCTTCATTAATACAATTGAAATCTGCACCTGAATCTACTAAAGCTAATGTTTGAAAATTATATTCTTCTTCGATGACAATTTTTACTAATATAAACCATTTTTGGGAAATAATTTTATTTACAAAGTTTACCGATATATTTTCTTCAACTTCTTTGGTTCTGAAGGATTCTGGTTCTTTATCACTAGGATCTGCTAGTTGGTCGAATTTGATCTCGTCTGTATCAGTTATAGTTCCTGATATGTCATTCTGTAATTCTAATATTTAAGATGTCCAACCCTATCCCATTATAAATGGTACAAAGATGTTTTCTTTTTCAGACTATTAAGCAGAGAAAATAGCCAGCAGGATCATTCGAAAGAAAAATTTATTGCTGGATTACCGTATTTATTTGCAGAAAAGGTAAAAACTAGATTAAAAAATAAAAATGGAGGAATAATACCATATTCTATTTATACATTAGGAGAATTATCTGCAGAAATATGTGCAGAAGGATTAGCCCTATGTACCGACATGAAATTAAAGAAACAATTAGATAAGCAAAAAATGACTGGTAAAAAAGAATTAGGAGACTTCTGTGAACAATTTGGATATCATATAGAAAAATCTAGAGATAAATTTCATAAAAAGAAAAGATATAAGACAGAAAGAAAAGAAAAGAAATCTTATAAAAAACATAACAAAGAAAAATTCATAAAAAGATTCTCTCCAAAATACAAGTACCATAAGGGTAAAAGAAAATTACCTGTATGTTATAAATGCAGAAAAGTTGGCCATTATAAAAGCCAATGTAAAATAAAAAAGAAAATAGCTACTATAATCTTAGAAGAATCCATTAGAAATAAACTATATGATATAATACAAATATATGATGATGATTCTTCTGAATCTTCCACTGATACTACAATGATAGGACAAATAGAAGATGAAGATTATTTCATGTCCTCAACAGAACAATCTGAATCTGAACAGAATATAGAAGAATGTTCCTGTAATATGCTATCCAAAGAAGATACATTAATATTAGACCTCATAGAAAAAATAAACGATCCAGAGGAAAAGAGAGAAATTATTACCCAATTTATCACATTAACAAAAGCAAAAAATAAACCAATTCCATTACTCAAACCACCAGATGATTACAATTTTGCTGAGATACTCAAACGAATTAATAAAAAAGATATACTTCAAAGAGAACCCACAATATCTGAATTAAAAAAAGAAATAAATGAAATAAAAACAGAAATAGGACAATTAAAAACTAGAATCAAAATATTAGAATTACAGAATGACATATCAGGAACTGTAACTGATACAGACGAGATCGAATTCGACCAACTAGCAGATCCTAGTGATAAAGAACCAGAATCCTTCAGAACCAAAGAAGTTGAAGAAAATATATCGGTAAACTTAGTAAATAAAATTATTTTCCAAAAATGATTTATATTAGTAAAAATTGTCATCGAAGAAGAATATAATTTTCAAACATTAGCTTTAGTAGATTCAGGTGCAGATTTGAATTGTATTAATGTGCACTGCTTTGATGCAACTGGATGATGCATTTTGCAGTCACATCTGATAACCATGGTCTAAATGGGTGTGAAAGGTGAAGTAGGAGCTCCTTCAACACATTGGCAAGCTTGAATGGGGTGTGCCTCCACCCCAGGCCCATCAAAAAACATTTAGAAAGTCACCTTCGACTACAAGGGGCAGCCAGAAAAATTGGAAGAAGAACTTGAGCCAAGTAGGGCAGTTGCCTCAGCAGCACTGACGTCACCATGCCCTAACCTGCTCAACCTACAAATGCAACCTCGGTAGCACCTGAACTGTCCCCAGATTAACAAAAGAGCATTCATCTAAGTTGGGCTCTAGGGACCCTTCAGGGAGGCCCCTCCATGATGCACGGGCTTTACTGATAGGCATCCAACTTCGTGCCACCACCTGCCACTCTGTGGCCATATCTTTTGCATAGATACCCATATTTCTTTATTTACTAATGCCACACAGACAACTCTCATGTGATAAACAATAGGATAATACTTGCCACAAGACATTGGAAAATCTACAAACTCATTGTTGAAAATTCCTTCACAAATAGCAATCTCAGTGTTTCAAAAAGCGCTAGGTGCCACCTAGGCAGTCGGGGGGTCCAAGCCGCCCAACGCCTAGGCGGGCGCCCAGAACTTGGACGGCCCAGTAGAATTTTTTTTTTTTTGGATTTTCTCTCTCTAAAGTAGCCTCTAATGGATTTTAGGTTTCAAATGAACCTAAAACCCACAATTTTGCCCTTTTAGTATTAAATAAATGACCCAAAAATACCCTCAAGGAGGGTTTCTGTCCCTGGGTAGGGCGCAAGCACTAGGTGGCCGCCTAGCAGGTTCAGACAGGCGACTATGGATATCTGCCTAGGAGGGCGCCCAGGCGCTGGGCGGTCTGCTTTTTAAAATAGTGGGCGATCTCAAGGAGAACTTAGTTATACCTGAAGCTCGATAGGGGTCCTGACTGAGCCAGGGAAGCACATTTTTATGCTCAAGCATACAAAAGAAGAGATGCATAACACTCCTTTGTAAAGAGACTTGTCATGTAAGTGACTAGTCCTTTTTAATCAGCAACAAAAAATGAGTTTCAATATGAAAGACCTTGGGAAGGTTGAGATACTTCATTGATACTGAAGTTTAGAAAAGTTATAAGGCCATTGCGCTGTTTCAAAAAAAGTATGCTTTGCAGATGATTGAAAAGTTTCAAATGACAATCAGAAGTCAGATGAAGTTGCACATATAGGCCATTGCGCTGTTTCGAAAAAAAATGCTTTGCAGATGATTGAAGAGTTTAAATGATAATCAGAAATCAGATGAAGTTGCCAAAAGTATGTGCATGACTAGTATCATGTGGTCAGCCACTATTATGCTTGATCTATTGTGACAATCAAACTAACCATAGCAATTAAAAGCTTTTAGTAAACCAAGTGAGATAGGGTTACAATGCCCAAGGTTGCCGAGGCAAAGGACTGAAAATTATAGGCCTTTTTTTTTTGGGGTGAAAATTAGAGGCTATTTGTAAACTTCAATACATAGACTATTAAATATAAAAGATTCAAGCTTGGACTTGATTGGTGAGGAGTTGAGTACAACAATGTGTCCCAAGTCCAAATCATACCGCTGAAGTGCGTGTGATATGTGTGTGTGCATGTGCATGTGCGTGTATGTGTATGCTATGCACATATTTAGTATCATATATATGCATGTAATAATGAAGATGCAACATAATAAGACCTATAGGGTACAAAACCTGTTTAACCATCTCAAAAAGAATAAATACATCAGGATAAAAACTGTAATCGAGGAAAAATTCATCAAATAAAGGAATGAATAATGCTATTTAATCAAGTCAAAACTTCTCCAGATCTCACCTATAATTAAACAAAGAACAGGAGTTATATGCAAAAGGAATGCATTGTACACCCCCCTAAAGGTATGAAGTTAAATAATGCAGTTTATAAATAGAACAAAAACTATCAATAAGACACCAGTAAAAGGTAATTTTAAGCCAAGCACAAACAAGCAAACGAGAAGGCCTTCTTCTTTTTTTCTTTTGATAGACATTAGACAGTTCTTCTTTTAATCCTAAAAAAGAATGCCTTACAATTTAAAGTTTTCACAGCAAAGCAAACAATATAAAAGGAGTAGATCACCATAAATATTTACTTTGGATGGAATAAGGTAAGCATGCTAACGCATGGGTGAATGTACATCTATATGCAATGTATTTCAAAGTATCATCTCTAAACTATCCACCTGCCCAGGTTTCTTATGTTCTTTACAAGTAATAGCTAAGGTACCCACCTCGACTTTATAATCACAATGTCACAGGTTGGGCAGTCTGTCCAGAAGAATCCTAATATGTGATCTGATCTACATCTGTGATTAAATGTTGAACCTGTTCCTTGATTTCTGAACTCAATCTCGTTATTTGATCTTTGGATTGCAATAATATTCCCATCAAGGGAGTACCGGATGGACAAAACAGGTCCTTCACTGACAGAATCTGAAGATGGAGCATCGCAAGATGCGTAACGACTAACTTGCCATGAAAATACCTGCAAGCAAGATCAATTGGAACCATTGATCTCATTGCTTGGGAAACAAGACACTGGTAAAGCAAACCATAATCCAATAGACCATGTAAAACACAAAGATCAGTGGTTCATCATCATGCTTTAAATCATGGATGGTGATGGAGAGTGAGTGGGACCACCAAAATATGACATGAACCCAAGGATCTCAAGGTCCACATTGGTGATTACCCAATGAATTATGGTTTTCTTTGTAGCCCATTGAATAAAAATGTAATAACATATGTCCCATAAACATGTTTAGTGTTCATGTGTAGATAGATTACGTCTTACCTGATCAGTTGTTGGGGAGATGAGTAACTTATTCCCATCATCATAAAAAAAACCTCTAGCTCCAGGAATGCTGCATCTTAAAGGTGGGTATTGAATATAAACATGGGATAGAGCACCTGATCCACCCAGGCCAATCCTTGGCTGAGAACTTGATGGTTTTCCAAACATATTATGACCCTCCACATGAGACGAAACAAACAAATAAAACTACAAGTGTGGGCTCCAATTCCAAACGAACTACAAGAGCGAAGGAATTTGATAATCTTTAAATATTTCCTTTATATTGCAACCGACTTTAAACCTTATACTTGAGCTGCATAAAAGGAAGCAATAAAGATCATAACCGTGTTTACTTGAATAAAGTAATTAAGAAGTATAAGGCTAGCCATAACTCAAACATACCGTATTCTGCATGCAAGCCTTCAGTGCAAGAAACTCCTTTGCACACATATCACGCTCAATCTGAGGAACCTTTTCAGCAATGCATTGGCCATATGCTCTTGCCTACAACAACGATGTTCATTTAAAATCATATTCATGAGAAAATCCATGCAGAAAATCACTGGTTTGGTGAAAACCAATTTTTATCCATCAAATATTCAATTCCAGGTTCTTCCCACACCAACACACAAATCCACATGTATGTCAAATACAGATCTTTGCCTGTGCTTTAGCTTTTCCCCTTTTGTCAAATCACAAAAATGACCTTTTTATACTAATTATCACAGGTATGTATTCCGATATTTTTTACTTAATCATAGGTCGACAGTCTATTCATCTGGTGGAATGGGGATTGTAATTCTTTCTACTTCTCAAGGTGTAATGACAGAGGGAGAGAATCAAAAGGAAGGTATTGGAGAAGAGAATATATGTTATACATGGTGATCTCTCGAGCATATGAATGCTATCTGACACTTCGTTTATATGGAAAAAAAACAAAAAACAAAAAAAAGAAAAGAAAAAGGAAAGGCAAGTTGGCTAATACCAGTTATCTAGAGTTCATCGATACTTAAAGGAGGTTATCAGCTATGTCAGAATAAAAAAAAAAAGATAAAAGGTTTTCTTCTTACTTCCTCTTTCTTCAATGTCTCGGTAAGTTACCATAATCTTTAACTTAGCTACAAAGCCCAATTTTTATTTGAGCTTGCTGGGCAACAAGGCCTGCTTGATGTTTGGGGGACTTCTCACAGATTGTATGGACAGAGTTTTGTGATCCTTTTTAGGTCCCATTACGATCAAGGATTCTACTATAATTAAGGCTAGTGCTAGTGCCCATATCTTTGGACAGCTCTGACCAACACCTCGTTGCAGCTGACTTTCTCAATGTCATTCGACGGGCATCCAGAAAGTCCAATCCCCTGGAGCCCAATAACATCATGGACGAGGTAGTATTGTTAAGTGATTAAATTGGATGCTCCTATGCTAAACCTACAGAAAAGCTAATGATTCAACAGACTGGGTAGCCAAAGAAGGATTGGACATGTAGATTATTACCACCTGTACACTTACTGCACACATCTGTTGATTTTGTCCCCCTCCAACCCAACCATCCCCCCCATCTCCTTCTCCTTCTGAGGCATTTCTCTGTTTGTATGCACTTTAAGTGCAACTTAATGTATGCCTTTCATTAATACAAAGCTATTGATTAAAAAAAGAACATATTTAACTTGCCAACATACCAATTCAGCCAAACCCAATATATCAGTGTTTCCCGCAAATGTAATGGTTCAATTCCCAGCAAATTGAAATGGAAACCCATCAGATAAACTTTTCCCACATTTTCTTGGAAACAACTAAGTTTATCATTGGAGATGCCTCGATGTGGTGGGGGATCCCCAACGAGAGCTTTATGAAATGAAACCTAGAAGACAAAAACATACAACCTTTGGCAGGGTAACTGCAACCCAAACTAATCTCGCCAGTGACTACCCTCCATATGAAAATTGATCTCTTGAAAAAGATTTGATAAAAAACGGTCCAAACCCAAATTAGGATAAAAAACTATTGTAATAAACTCAAAAGCACACAGAACAACATTGATTCCCATCTATTGGGTTTCAATGAAATGGGGATATCTATGCCTCTCTCCCACCAAGCCACCCATAACTAGGGAATTCTTCCCAATAAAACATAAGATCATAAGAACGATCATAAGAACTCATCCACAAAGGCAAGATTCCATTCGACACTTTTCCATCATTGCATTGCACAATCTTTTATTCGGTCCCCCAAGAATAAATGAAGCCCCAATTATTTGCTTGGAATGCCTATTGTAATTCCGTTTTAATTTTAGTTTTCTTAAGTTATTAGGTAGTTGGATTACAAATATTTTAGTTAGAGTTTTTTCTTGGAGTTTTTTTTTCTATGCTTTCAAAAATATTACAAATATTCCGTTACAAATATTGCTTGGAGTTTTTTTTTTCTACGCTTTCAAAATTCTGAATACTGACAAATAGAACACAGAACTCTCTGTAGATACCCATGCAGGCCTATGGCTCAAAAGATGAGTTCTTGAGAAATGAAGTTGAGTTTTTCAATGGCGGTGGGAGGCCACCTTAAGATGAGAGAGAGACCTCTTAACTTTTTCTATAGCAAGAGTGATGCCACAAACCTATCCCATATTTAGAAGTCTCCCCAATATTTAGAGCGCCACTTCATATTTTGGTGGAGATATTCCTCAAAACTCTAATTTGTGGATTGAAGACACTCCCTACGTATTCTTTCCTATCTTGTGTGGCACAACACCATCAGAGTTCCCCAAAACCAAATTCGTAAACCATAGAAACCATTCTATAAACGAAGACAACCTCTCCAAACCCTTGGTATAATAGATTAAAAGTTACCCTAACCATATACCTACTCTCTGAAGCATCCAAACTTAAGTTTAAAACCTAGATTTCCTTTTCAACCATCATTACATCTTGCTGGACAGTTAATTTATGATTTTATACCAAATTATTCCTACCTAAGACCCTAAATCAAACTCTAATTGTTGACCTGATCATATCTAACCCTTCCCTATCACCATAACCTCAATCATATCCCTTCTGCATCTAGACCTTACATTTTGCAAATCCTATTTGAACTAGGAGACCTCGGTACCCTAAAACTCTGTTGTCCCAATTTCTTTAAGCCCACATCATATGTCACAATTGTGTAGGAGCCAGGCTGCTTGGTCCTACATCAGTTTTGGTATTATAGAAAGTTGTTGCTTGGGAGCTTACTTCGGGTTCAAGCATATCAAGCAAAATTGGTCGAACTTATGGCTCTCATCTCTCCAAAACACAAGGAGATGAGCTTATGTTGTAATTGGGAGACAAAATGAATGGCAGGCATTGATTCCTAACTACCTTAATTGGGAAGATAACCAGCATTCGACCATCAACAACCTATCTTCATGGAACTGGAAAAAACGCCGAGAATGGGGTTGCATAAAGAGCATATTCTTGTTTCTCCTCCTCTCCAACGTATGAGTGGACTAATTCAGTCCTATAGAGTCTACTAACTCAACTTCCAGTGTGACAAATACAATCAGTCCGAGAGATGGACATATTCAAGTATGCGGCAATAGGAGTGCTCTACACCCACACCAGCCACTTCACGACATAGAGAGCTCTTTAAATGTAGCTGAATCCTTAACCGGTCCAAGTAAAAAGCTCATATCACTTTCGAGGGACATGACACGAAAGGAAGAGGCCCTGTCAGTGACCACACTAAAATGGGAAGCAACCCCATAAAGTGCTTGAGAGCTGGGTCATATTGCCTTTCATTGTCCAATCAAGGCTTTAAACTTGGTGGATCATGCATGCAAGGACAAAGATAATCACATAAGAGATAATGAATCATTGGGCCCATGAAGCCCTTGTACTCCAACCTTAGTGTTTCTTCAGAAAGATGAGCCTGAGGATTACAAAAGGACTAACATCTTTTGACACAAGGCAAATATGAAGGAAAGATATACAACCTCATTATTTTTGGAGGAAGCCTAAACAAAATTGCCTCCTCAAGAGCCAGTTAACAAGTAAATAAAGAGACACCCACAACCACATAAGGTTGCCTTGGTAAATGATATCACTCATGTTAACACATGGTGTCTTAAAGCATTTTGGATGAACCATTCACACTCAAGATCAGGTTTGGTGCATTTTACTCCCATGACCATTAGCCATATCACATTAGGACAGCCATGGTTGTTGAATAACAAGGTCAAGCATGATGGCGAGGCCAATACCTACTATTTCAAGGTCAATAATAAAAGCATTATCATTGAACCTTTGAGAGGGACAGAGACTCCTTAGGAGACAAAGATAACCATGCTAGCCAATTCTTTGACTCTTAGATACTTTTTTGGAAGAAAGTCAAGACAACGTGGTATTTAAAGCGCTTGTTGAAACAGATGTCAAGCTTGACCAGCAGCAGGCCAAATATCCCTCAGGCTCAGAGGTCCAAAAGATTCTCTCAAACTTCTAAAATTTTGTCCTAGATGAGATCCCTAACGAGTTGCCACCCATGACATATTCAACATGCCATAGATCATGTTCTTGGAGCTACTCTTCTCAACCTGCGTGCACACCATATGATTCCTACAAAGGATGCAAGCTTTTGTTGGCACATTGAAGAGCTAATGGCCAAAGGGTTCATTCGTTGAGCACATGTAGATGTGTAGTACATGCCCTCCTCCAGCCCAATAAAGACAATATGTGACGTGAGCGCATAAACATTAATGATGGAAAACATAATCAAGTGGATGTGTTTGTCTTGATTCCTCAATCGACATACATTGATTTTTTGTCTTGAGTCCTCATAAGAGATAATATGTTTGTCAAATGAGGTACCATTCAAAGATTTGGATTTGACACCATCCAACCTTTTAGGAGCACTAAAGTAAATAATTGGAGAAGACAACGGATAAAATGACGGACCCATTCAAGCTCATTTCAAACTCGAGGACGAGTTTTCTCCAACCACGGGAAAATGATGCAAACCCCCTCCTGGTGGCACAATTCTCCACCGAATGTCCATTTGGGTGCTCCAAAGCTTAAATCGAAGATTTTTTCAAGATCTATAACGTTACCCCTCCGGATTTTTTATAATTTAAATGTTTCAAGCTACAAATCGTGGTTGAAACTTTGCTGGACAAATTAGCGCTGAATTTTATTTTGCATAGTGTGTTAGGTTTCCTCCTTTTCATTATTGAGTCCTAATTCCAATTGAGTTTTAATTTTAGTTTTCTTAATTTATTAGGTTCCAATCCTACTAGGATTAGAAACCTTTGAATCCTAATTCTAATTGAGTTTTAA